TGATACATTCTTTCAGTCTTTGTATCAGCCTGTAGGCTTTTTAATTGCCGTAGATTTTGAAAAGGCTTTCGATTGCATTTCCCATAAACTTTTATTTAAAGCTTTGGAACAGTTTGGGTTTGGTAAAGTTTTGTGTTCTTGGGTTAAAACCCTCTACACTAATGTTAGCAGTTGCGTGATGAACGGGGGACACTCAACAGGATATTTTGGAATTAATAGAGGGGTAAGACAAGGTGACCCCCTCCATATTTATTTGTAATAGTTATCGAATTACTAGCTCGTTATATTAGGAAAGATGAGAGCATTAAAGGGGTAGGATTCGGGAATAAAGAAATAAAGCAAGTTTTGTATGCAGATGATATTACATTGTTTTTAAAAGATATGAATTCAATTAATAAAGTGAAGAAAGTTTACAAAAACTTTGAAAAAATAAGTGGATTGAAGATAAATATGGATAAGACAAATTTTATGGGGTTAGGAGAGGAAAGTGATAGGCCGGGTTTACCTTTTTTTTGGACATAGGGTACAACATATAAAGATCCTAGGGGTATATTTCGCACGTCATTCCAAAATAAAAGATGATTTGAACTATAAGGAAATTTTGAGCAAAATCAAAAGACTAATCGGTTGGTGGAAGCAACGAGATTTAACGATGTTTGGCAAAATTAAATTGTTGAAGATATATGTATTTTCAAAACTAAATTATGTTTCGTCTCTTATGACAGTCCCACAAAACATTTTTGAAGAAATCGAAAAGATTTCTTTTAATTTTGTTTGGGGAGGGAGAGACAGAATAAAACGGAAAATATTATATCAAGATTACTGCGCTGGGGGACTCAGAGTAACGAATTTTAAGATATTTATCAAGACTCAGAGAATAATGTGGATCAAACGGTTGCTCTACGGAGAAAAGTATTCAGGTTGGAAAGTAACCTTTGACCACTTTTTCAGATCACTGGGGGGTCGAATTATATTTCTTTGTAATTATGATATAAACAAAATGGACTTGAAGGGTATACCATCTTTTTATAAAGACATGTTGAAGGCATGGCAAGAATTAGATAAATGCAGACACTTCGGAGAAAATAAGAATAATCCGATTATATTTAGCAATAAGTGTATATGTCTCAGCAATAAAACATTTTTTGATGTCGAACTATTTCAGAAAGGTATACTTCAAGCATCAGATATAATTGTCAGAGGTCATTTAAAACCGATCTTACATTTTTTAAATTTGGGTTTTGCAACTAAAAGCTTGCTTAGAATTCAAAAGATCTTTTCAGCAATCAGAAACGAATGGATACAAAGTGATTATATGGAAGTGGACACTGAAAATTTTGAAATAGAATTGATGATATTTGGACGTTTACAGAAACTATGTGATATAACATCTAGGCGGTTATAGGATTACTTCATTGAAGACCTTCAAAAAGAGTATACATTACATGTTACAGATGGCAACTGTCAATTTGATCTTGGAATGACGAAGTTGAAAGAAACATTCACAAGGATGAAATGTGCAATGCTTTGTAATAAACATAGAGAGTTTCAATACAAACAATTACAAGGGGCTGTATATACGAAAAGAGAGCTCTTTAAATTTGATTTTGAGTCAGACCATTTTTGCTCCTTTTGTAAACTAGAAGTAGAGACATACCAACATTTATTTTTAGATTGTCTTAAAGTTAAAAGATTATGGCAGGAGGTAATTCAAAAGTTACATTTAATCGAAATTGACATTGATGATTGGAAACCCATATGGGAATATCCGGCAATACTGCTAGAATATTTGTAATAAATTGTATCATATTTTTAGTAAAGTATATCATTTTTATTTCTAGAAAAGAAGGAACTTTGCCATCTGTACAGAAAACAGTACATATGCTTAAAAATTACAGAGACGAGGAATACAAAATAGCCTTCAAAAAGGGGAAACTGGGGATGCACTTACAGAAATGGGAACAAATCGATGCATTTTTACTTTAATGGATGTGGGTATTATTATTATTAGTATTATTATTATTTCTCTCTCGTGTACAGGTGGACAAACCGGAACAGGTTGCATGCAGCGTGTGTGTCGGCGTGAAGGGGGTGTGAGATGGGTGGGCTAGGGGGGGGGGGGAGGGGGTGAGTTTGTGTGGTGTGAGTTGAGGGAACAGGTTGCATGCAGTGTGTGTTTGTGTTTGTATGGTTGTTTATGTGTGTGAAAGGGGGTGTGGTGTGGGTGGGCTAGAGGGGGGGGGGGGTGTGAGAGTGTTGTGATAGGATGGTAATATGTAACTTTAAACCTTCCTCTACTGTTATTTTGATTATACACTGTTACATGCAAGACTTTTTTCCCCTTTTTTTCCTCTATGTTCATTGATTGATGTAACTTATGAAATGTCTTGTATCAAAGATCTTGTTTTATATTGCTTATCTTGATAATTTCTTGTTATGTGAATTTCTTGTTATGTGAAATTATGAGGCACTATAAATGTCATAGATAAGAATAAAAGCAATAACCATGCACTTTGAAGGCATTTGCGGTCTGAAAACAGAATTCAACAATCCCTTTAATATAATATATATATTCACCATTTGTGATTTCAACCTTGAAACATCTGCTATCAACAAAATAACCAACACCTTTTCCCAGCTAGATATCTACAGGCAAACCAAAATGCAATATCCAGGGGCGGATCAAGGATTTTCCAAAGGAGGGGGTGGGGGGGGGGGCATGAGATGTACGAAATTGCGAGCGCGAAACGCAAAGCCTTAAAGATAAAGGTGAGTTCTTTTTTTTTAAAATGAATTCTCACAGAATCAAACGAAACTTACACTGAATGTTCAAGATTACAAATAAATGTCATTTGCCAAAGAGTTTCGGTAGAAATTGTATACCGGCTGAGTAATGAGCATAGAAAAATGTGGAAATCAAGGTTAGTAGCCCCGACACCATTTGTGTAGTCCCATATACATCTTTCTGTCTACGGTGCTTGTTACTTTACAAAGACTGGGCCAAATTTATTGATATTGATGACTCCAGAACCTTGCAGTACACACCAATATTTACATGCTACATGATCAACGTTTTCTGATCCATTCCACACCTTTTCTTTCACAATGCAATCGGATGACCAGAACTCACGGATTTATGGTTCTATCGTACATCTGAGGAATTTCTGAATTTCTTTGCTTTTTTCCTGCATTTCTTCGGAAAATCTATCAAGATGACAAGTCTTTTTTAAATGAACATGGGAGATATTTGTACTGCAAAAGAACAGTGAAATTTGGAAACATTTAGTGAAAAGATGTCGCCTAGGACAATGATTTAGTGTTTGTCCCCTAGACCACAACACTATTCATTCCCCTTTCTGTCCAGAGGGTGGGATTCGTAACAGCCACCACTGACCAATCAGAGACAAGAAACAAGACCCAGTGACATCACGTCGACCAAAAGAATGTGCAACTAATCCTAACAGGCTACGGTCTGACTATTAATCTTGTCTCTCCCTCTTTTTCCTTCTCTTTTTGAGTCTCTCTCCTTCTAGCTCTATATCCTGCTATTTTTTCGGAGGGAAAAAGGGGGGGGGGCGTGTGACCCCAACGCCCCACCCCCTCGGTCCGTCCCTCTGAAGTGTACTGAGATTTGTCTGCTGACATGCCGTGAAGTTTTTGCGTTTAGTACGTTATTTTTATATATAACCAGCTACAAAGAGCTACTTATCGTCAGGGCCGTAGCAAAAGTTTGAGGTTGGGGGGGGGGGGGGGGGGGCACATACATGTTATTGACCGACGTCCTAGGGAGGGGTCTAAAGAAGTTCAACCGATCTTGGAAAAAAAATTCTGACCACTCACGATCATTCAGCTAACAGCTGCTGTAATGGGCGATTTCGAATGACGGGCGATGTGACAGGGTGTCCTTTCCCCCTGGATCCCAGATTGTATACATGATTAAATGATAGGACTTTCCTTTATTTTTTAAAGGAGATATAACCAGCATAATATTAAGTATAGTAAGAAAGAGATCCATTAAGATTTGACATTTATTTTCCCTACTTTTTTCTGATCGAAGTATTTTTTGTTAATACCACACCAAACTCTTCGAAATTTGACCCATTTATCTTTTAAATATCTTTTGTAAAAGACAACGATATGAAAGAACTATTTTCCTACTTCCAATGTGTATACAATGAGGTCAAATCGTTGTTTGGTTGCTACACTCCCCCACGATGACTTTTAAAATGGTAATGCACTTGCTCATTACGTATTCATAACCACTCCCAGCGTGAATACGTCATCCGTTCTCTCTGCGAGATTTCGCACGCACTGCGGACTGACTGCTATACAAAACAACTTCTGTTTCTCTCAAATGATACGCCATTTTCTCAACGACTGTTCCATCGGTTAGTTTGATTGGGAAAACTGGAAAAATTAGGAAAGCAGATCAAAATGAATTGTTTAATTCTTACCTTTGTGTAATATACCATCGTATCAGATACATGGTAAACTCTTTGGATAAAAAACAGAGATCCATTTTAATAAGAAATCTTGGCGTTTTATCGTGGAACAATTTTATACACTGATTTGACAATCTACAATTTCATTTCGAAGCAAGAGACCGTTGATGTGAATAATTTGGATGGACCGGAGCACGCTCGTTTATGTGAAGGAAATCGGACCAATAAAGTGGAGATATTACGCTGGTACTGACAGGGCCAGGACTGTCCGAGACGGAATCGTTTTATTATAAAGTTGGAAATATGGTCGCAAGTATTATTTTATCAAGTTAGATTAATTGCTTTGCCGTAGTTTCCAATGCATAAATATTAGTAGGCTTAGAATAGTCTAAGCCTGCACGGAAACAGATATATATATCTCATGCTGTAGAGTGGGTAACTGCATCGACGTATTTAGTCTCTCCCGAGAACGATTAAACATTACAAAGGTGGCTTTGACATACCCTGAAAAGAACATAGAAACATCCATAAGATTTGGTTCCACAGGCATAGCAAAACATGGCTGAACGAGCAGCAAATGAACTAAATGAGGACTTTACACTCCTGAACAGGGCAGCTTCAAATGGCCATCTGAACGTTGTTCAGAACCTCTTCGGTGAAGAAGCACAGGTTTGGAGGAACAATAATGATGATCAAACTCGTCTTCACTGTGCATCACGCGATGGTCATCTTGATGAAGTTCAGTATATCATTGGTCAAGGAGCAAATGTTGAGAGGAATGATACTGATGGTCAAACACCTCTCCACTTGGCATCAGACTGTGGTCATCTCAATGTAGTTCAGTATCTCCTTGGTCAAGGAGCTCAGATTAATAGGTTTGACAAACTTAATCGGACTCCTCTTTACTGTGCATCAAACAATGGTCATCTTGAAGTAGTTCAGTATCTCGTTGGTCAAGGAGCACTGGTTGAGACGAATGATAACGATGGTCACACACCTCTTCACTGTGCATCAAACGAAGGTTATCTTGAGGTAGTTCAGTATCTCGTTGGTCAAGGAGCACTGGTTGAGAGAATTGATATTGATGGTCAAACACCTCTCCACTGTGCATCTACCAATGGTCATCTTGAAGTAGCTCAGTATCTCGTTGGTAAAGGAGCACTGGTTGAGACGAATGATAACGATGGTCACACACCCCTTCACTGTGCATCAAACGAAGGTTATCTTGAGGTAGTTCAGTATCTCGTTGGTCAAGGAGCACTGGTTGAGACGAATGATAACGATGGTCACACACCCCTTCACTGTGCATCAAACGAAGGTTATCTTGAGGTAGTTCAGTATCTCGTTGGTCAAGGAGCACTGGTTGAGAGAATTGATATTGATGGTCAAACACCTCTCCACTGCGCATCTACCAATGGTCATCTTGAAGTAGCTCAGTATCTCGTTGGTAAAGGAGCACTGGTTGAGAGGAATGACACTGAAGGTCAAACACCTCTCCACTTGGCATCAGACTGTGGTAATCTTAATGTAGTTCAGTATCTCCTTGGTAAAGGAGCTCAGCTTGATAAGCTTGACAATCTTAGTTGGTCTCCTCTTAACTGTGCATCAAACAATGGTCATCTTGAAGTAGTTCAGTATCTCGTTGGTCAAGGGGCACTAGTTGAGACGAATGATATTGATGGTCACACACCCCTTCACTGTGCATCAAACGAAGGTTATCTTGAGGTAGTTCAGTATCTCGTTGGTCAAGGAGCACCGATTGAGAGAATTGATATTGATGGTCAAACACCTCTTCACTGTGCATCAAACAATGGTAATCTTGAAGTAGTTCAGTTTCTCATTGGTCAAGGAGCACTGGTTGAGAAGAATGATAATGAGGGTCACACACCTCTTTACTATGCATCAATCAGTGGTCATCTTGAAGTAGTTCAGTTTCTTGTTGACCAAGGAGCACTGATTGAGAGTGGTGAACACAATGGTCACACACCTCTTCACTGTGCATCAGTCATTGGGCATCTTGGAATAGTTCAGTATCTCATTGGTCAAGGAGCACTGGTTGAGGGCAGTAATGATAGTCACTCACCTCTTCAAACTGCATCGGGCAATGGTCATCTTGAAGTAGTTCAGTATCTCGTTGGTCAAGGAGCACTGGTTGAGAGAATTGATATTGATGGTCAAACACCTCTCCACTGTGCATCTACCAATGGTCATCTTGAAGTAGCTCAGTATCTCGTTGGTAAAGGAGCACTGGTTGAGACGAATGATAACGATGGTCACACACCCCTTCACTGTGCATCAAACGAAGGTTATCTTGAGGTAGTTCAGTATCTCGTTGGTCAAGGAGCACTGGTTGAGACGAATGATAACGATGGTCACACACCCCTTCACTGTGCATCAAACGAAGGTTATCTTGAGGTAGTTCAGTATCTCGTTGGTCAAGGAGCACTGGTTGAGAGAATTGATATTGATGGTCAAACACCTCTCCACTGCGCATCTACCAATGGTCATCTTGAAGTAGCTCAGTATCTCGTTGGTAAAGGAGCACTGGTTGAGAGGAATGACACTGAAGGTCAAACACCTCTCCACTTGGCATCAGACTGTGGTAATCTTAATGTAGTTCAGTATCTCCTTGGTAAAGGAGCTCAGCTTGATAAGCTTGACAATCTTAGTTGGTCTCCTCTTAACTGTGCATCAAACAATGGTCATCTTGAAGTAGTTCAGTATCTCGTTGGTCAAGGGGCACTAGTTGAGACGAATGATATTGATGGTCACACACCCCTTCACTGTGCATCAAACGAAGGTTATCTTGAGGTAGTTCAGTATCTCGTTGGTCAAGGAGCACCGATTGAGAGAATTGATATTGATGGTCAAACACCTCTTCACTGTGCATCAAACAATGGTAATCTTGAAGTAGTTCAGTTTCTCATTGGTCAAGGAGCACTGGTTGAGAAGAATGATAATGAGGGTCACACACCTCTTTACTATGCATCAATCAGTGGTCATCTTGAAGTAGTTCAGTTTCTTGTTGACCAAGGAGCACTGATTGAGAGTGGTGAACACAATGGTCACACACCTCTTCACTGTGCATCAGTCATTGGGCATCTTGGAATAGTTCAGTATCTCATTGGTCAAGGAGCACTGGTTGAGGGCAGTAATGATAGTCACTCACCTCTTCAAACTGCATCGGGCAATGGTCATCTTGAAGTAGTTCAGTATCTCGTTGGTCAAGGGGCACTGGTTGAGAGCAATACTAATGATCGTTTACCCCTTCACCGTGCATCACGCAATGGTCATCTTGAAGTAGCTCAGTATCTAGTTGGTCAAGGAGCACTGGTTGAGAAGACTGATAATGATGGTCACACTCCTCTTCACTTGGCATCAAACAATGGTCACCTCGAAGTAGTTCAGTATCTCGTTGGTCAAGGAGCACAGGTTGAGAAGAATGATAATGGTGGTCACACACCTCTTCACTTTGCATCAAGCGAAGGTCATCTTGAAGTAGCTCAGTATCTAGTTGGTCGAGGCGCACATGTTGAGAGGGACAATAAACATGGTCGTACACCTCTCCACTGTGCATCAATTGAAGGTCATCTTGAAGTAGTTCAGTATTTCGTTGGAGAAGGAGCACAGATTGATAAGATTGATAATCTTAGTTGGACTCCTCTTTACTGTGCATCATACCATGGTCATCTTGGAGTAGTCCAGTATCTCGTTGGTCACGGAGCACAGGTTGCGAAGAGTAATAATGATGGACAAACACCTCTTCGCTGTGCATCAGCTAATGGTCATCTTGAAGTAGTCCAGTATCTCGTTGGTCGAGGAGCACTGATTGATAAGCCTGACAATCTTAGTTTTACTCCCCTTCACTGTGCATCATTCGAAGGTCATCTTGAAGTAGTTCAGTATCTCGTGAGTCAAGGAGCCCTTTTTGAGAAGAATGACAATGATGGTCACGCAGCTCTTAACTGTGCATCACTCAGTGGTCATCTTGAAGTAGTTCAGTATCTCGTTTCTCAAGGAGCACTGGTAGAGAGCAATAGTGATGGTCACACACCTCTTCACTGTGCATCGAGCGAAGGTCATCCTGAAATAGTTCAGTATCTCGTTTCTCAAGGAGCAGAGATTAATAAGCTTGATAATAATGGTCGGACTCCTCTTTACTGTGCATCACTCAATGGCCATCTTGAAGTAGTTCAGTATCTCGTTGGTCAACGGGCAAAGGTTGAGAAGAGTGATAATGATGGTCACACACCTCTACACTGTGCATCAGGCAATGGTCACCTTGAAGTAGTTCAGTATCTTGTAGCTAAAGGAGCATATGTTGAGAGGGAAAATAATAATGGTCGTACCCCACTCCACTGGGCATCATGCAAAAGCCATCTCAATGTAGTTCAGTATCTCGTTGGTCAAGGAGCAAATGTTGAGAAGAATGATAATGATGGTCACACACCTCTTCACTGTGCATCAGGCAATGGTCACCTTGAAGTAGTTCAGTATCTTGTAGCTAAAGGAGCAAATGTTGAGAGGGAAAATAATAATGGTCGTACACCACTTCACTGTTCATCAAGCGATGGTCGTCTAAAAGTAGTTCAGTATCTAGTTAGTCAAGGAGCACGTGTTGAGAAGCACGATATTGATGGTCTAACACCGCTCACTTTGGCGTCATACAATCGTCATCTTGAAGTAGTTCAGTATCTCGTTGGTCAAGGAGCAAATGTTGAGAGGAATGATAATGATGGTCTCACACCTCTTCACTGTGCATCAAGCGAAGGTCACCTTGAAGTAGTTCAGTATTTCATTGATAAAGGAGCACTGGTTGAGAGGAAGAATAATGATGGTCACACACCTCTTCACTGTGCATCAAGCGAAGGTCATCTTAAAGTAGTACAGTATCTCTTTGATCAAGGAGCACATGGTGATATGGACAATAGTGATGGTAATACACCTCTTCACTTGGCATCAAACAATGGTCACCTTGAAGTAGTTCAGTATCTCGTTGGTCAAGGAGCACAGATTGATGAGCTTGATAAACATGGTTGGACTCCTCTTCACTGTGCATCAAGCAATGGTCATCTTAATGTAGTTGATTATCTCGTCAGTCAAAGAGCGGAGATTGATATCCTTGATATTCTTAGTCGGACACCTCTTTACTGTGCATCAATCAATGGTCAGCTTGAAGTAGTTCGGTATCTCGTTGGTCGAGGAGCACTGGTTGAGGCGGATAATGATGATGCTCCAACACCTCTCGCCTTGACATCAAACTTTGGTTATCTCAATGTAGTAAAGTATCTCATTGGTAAAGGAGCAAAGGTTGATGGGAATGATTATGATGGTGTCACGCCTCTTCACTATGCATCACGCAATGGTCATCTTGAAGTAGTTCAGTATCTCGTTAGTCAAGAAGCGGAGATTGATATCCTTGATCTTCTTAGTCGGACTCCTCTTCATTGTGCATCACTCAATGGCCGTCTTGAAGTAGTTGAGTATCTCGTTGGTCAAGGAGCCCTGGTTGAGGAGGATGATACTGAAGCTCCAACACCTCTCACCGTGGCTTCATACTTTGGTCATCTCAATGTAGTTCAGTATCTCGTTGGTCAAGGAGCAAAGGTTGAGGGGAATGATTATGATGGTCACACACCTCTTCACTGTGCATCAAGCAATGGTCATCTTGAAGTAGTTCAGTATCTCATTGGTCAAGGAGCAAAGGTTGAGAGGACTGATAATGATGGTCACACACCTCTTCACTGTGCATCAAGCAATGGTCATCTTGAAGTAGTTCAGCATCTCGTTGGTCAAGAGGCACATGTTGAGAGGGACAATAATAATGGTCAAACACCTCTTCACTTGGCATCAAGAAATGGACATCTTGAAGTAGTTCAGTATCTCATTGATCAAGGAGCACAACCTGAAGGTAAGATTCGCATTTTGACCGTGATCATTGAGCTATTTCTTGTCAGAAAGGGGTGTATTTAAAGGGACTGAACTGTCCTCACAACCTAATTAGTCTTTTTGCATCCATTCCTTTTTTTAAAAAGGTATTTGGTCAAATATTCCCATAGAAACTAATACGATGCGATTTGTTATACCTTCTAAAGGATGAAATTTTACCCCGCCTTACCCGGATTGTAGAACAATTTTTAGCAAATTTCCTGCTCCTTTTAAAGAATTTTATTCAAAATAGATTGCGGCTTGCCTCTTGCCCCAACGTATTTTCTCTTACTTTCTTTCCATGGTCCTACAAGAATGAGAGAAAAACAACAAATAATTGAACAATTATTGTAAAAAGGAGTAAATAAGATTTCCTGTGCAGTGTGAAACTTAGTCTGATGAATACTCAGAAAATGTCAACACTGCATTCTTTCAAATTATTAGTTTAAAAGATCATGTGCAGTAGGCATTCACGTGATATGCCTGATGTAGTTTGTGGGATAACAATTAAAAGTTATCATAGGAGATACCACAGGACCACATGAATGCCACAGGCAGCCGTTCACATTACTACATTAGTAGCTCAAGTGTAGTCCACTGCCTGAATAGTTAGGTACACTGACGGCTCCAATAGGGAATGCTGTCCAGCTAAATTTCATTGCTGATTCCGGAGTAAAATTTGATGCTAAAAACTATGCCATCGACTGATTTTCTTTTTAATTGGTGCCCAAAGGGCTCACATTTCATGTTTAAACCCCCCTCAATTTGTTTTGCTCAAGAGGGAGAGGGGGGGGGGGGGTGTGCTGATTAAAAAAAACTCATTGCTCCTTAACCCCCCCCCCCCCAACTAAGCGAAATATCTGTCGGCGTGATTTTGAAATTTCGTGGGGAAAAAAAACAAAAAACTGTTGGTCACTTGGTCACTATATATTTGGTAAATGATCATATCTATCCGGCCTGGATAGATATCGCGTAGTCCCATATACATCTTTCTGTGTACAGTGCTTGTAACTTTACCAAGACTGGGCCAAATTTCTTATCATTTTGATGATTCCAGAACCTTGATGTACACACCAATACTTATATGCTAGATGTTTAACCTTTTCTGATCGATTCCACAACGTTTCTTTCACAATGCAATCGCATTTATTTTTAGTATTTATATTTTCTAATGTTTTTGCTGTGTTTTTATTGCGACGTTTACGCACAAAGGATTGCTAGCCTTCAGGCAACAATGGGTTCCCGTCCAGATGTCTATAATTGCGTGTTTCCCACTATTCAACGTGTGAAGATAGGCGCGGTCATTGTATTTGTTCCTCATGGTGATATGACGCAAACCCTCATATAGCATTGAACCCAATTCTGACTGAGGGGCATTTTGAACCCCACCCTAACCCCGCACTGTACAAATTCCACGACTGCCGACAATTGGATCGTGTCTTGCCTTTTCGTGACTTTTTCCGTTCAAGAGTTTTGCACCTTTTGAGACCAGGGCCCCGTCTTACAAAGAGTTGATATCAATCGCAACTTATTTGCAATTGATATCAATCGCAAGTATGTACATACGAGATAGGAGACTGCAAACTTGCCATTGATATGAGGACTTACGATTGATTCGGATCAATCGCAACTCTTTGTAAGGCAGGGCCCAGGTTTTAAATTGGACAATCCTCTGCGATGTCACACAACATTGCTCAGTCACATGTCGAGCCAGAAATTAAACTAAAATCGAAATTTTGCCTACACAAATTATTTGTGTACAAAATACTTGAATTCCTAAATCGCTCTTTAACACTGTCAATCGTGTCTTTTATTTTATTTGTTTAATCTTGTATGTCTTGAAATTCGACAAGACAAATTTCTGAAATACAACAAGTTAATACAACAAGTCAATGCCGTAAAAAATTGTTTCATCAAGAGTACTGTAATTTTGTATGTACTTCATGGTTGAGATGCTCATAAATTAGTGAGCTCCGTCATTATGAGAGTTAATCATTTAGTAAACGTTTTAGGAGCTCATCATCGTTCATTCTTATGCTTTGCATTTCATGTTAGCCTATCATTATCTCCGTATTCCATGCTCTTTGCATCACATGATTACTACCACCATTATGATAGGACGACACAGAAACTTTACAGTGTATATAATAAATGCATTATTTTACATTTTTGGTGAATACACCACATTTCTCTTAATACAATTTTACACACATGATATTTGAAACGAGTATGTGACCCGATTATTTTCTCGATCAGTTTTTTTACTCATTAAAGTACATGTTAGTTAATATTGGATGAGTATTCTCCAACTTTAGTGACCGAATCAGTAAAAATATTCACAAGTGTGTAGAGTGGCTTTTTGCTCCCTAATAATCATAATCGCATCAAAATCTGAATGGTGATGGTGATTCAGATATTGATGTGGTAATGATTGTGGTTAAACTGATACTCATAAATTTGTCTTAACATGTTCAATACAAACTCAATTTAATTTACCCAAATATAAATGGCTTCAAAGAGATTACGAGCATCAAATAAATTATCAAAAACAAAACAAAACAAAACATTAAAAAAAAAAAAAAAAAAAATCAATGTATAGAGTATTGATACCCCCCCCCCCCACCATTATGGTACGCGCCACAAAATAATACAACTGTAGTCTGTAAACACACACTTTGCATGCACTTATATCATTGCATATTCATAAAAAGACACTCTTGCTTATTTCCATGGTAATTCTATATTGATGTGGCTAGGTTATATCTACTTAACACATGATCGTTCAGTTGCTAAATAGTGATGATTTAGTGGGTATACACCCCCATGTTTGTTGCTTACCAACATACAGGGTAAGACATGATAATTCTATAATTCAACAATCCCCTCATAACAGAATTTAATAAAATAATAAATCTTGCAGTCTTACAAATACTATTTTTAACCATATACATTTTTATTGCAACAAGCCCTTTGGTGGGCCCATATTTACGAATTAATCAAGGAAATAGACATTCAGCATTGTGCTGGAAGGTGTAGGTGCCCGTTGTATATTCTTTGTTATATACCTCACTTAAGAAATCCAGCCATCTGATTGGTCGAATTGCATTCATAAACTTCAACTGTTCCTGTAAAATTCCCGGTAACCATGCTTAAAACATTTCAATATTTTTAATAACCATGGTTATTAAAAAAATAGGTCAGTCTCCATGGTTACCCCATAGGTTTACATGTTAAAAAATGTTTTGAGCGATGGAGGATACCATACGTGTGCGAAAAATTGGTCGGCAATTTCAATACAATTGAATCTCGATCGATCTTACCGACAATTTTATCTTGCATTGTTGACATGAAGACGAAAATAAACTCTCAAAAACAAAAAAACAACATCTGCCGATAGATCTTGATCTAAGTTCGTGCCAATATGCATTGCAAAAGTAAAAGAAGGGTCCGTTTCATGGAGCTTTTGCGAAGCATCCCTCACGCGGAGCCGTTTTCAATTCATTTTAATGTATATATTGGAGAAAACTGCCAAGCATGTTAACGGCGCGCGATAGCCGAGTGGTCTAAGCGTTGGTTTTCGATACACCTCTTGTTGTACGCAAGAGTTCGAATCCCGTCTTCGACATAAATTTAAATTATTTTTTATTTTTTATTTTTTAGTCTATTTTTTTCGGCATATAAAAGTATTAATGACTGCTTTAATATTCGAGAAACAGTTGTTTTCATACGCTCTCGGGAAGGTTACAATTGGGCTATTCCCCTCGGCAAGCCTCGGGGAATAGCACAATTCTAACCTTCCCTTGAGCGTAATAAAACAACTATTTCTCTCAAAGCAGTCATTAATACTATATTATTCGCACCTATCATAAGTGGTGTTCAACACATCATATGGCATAAGTTTTAAATGTTCTAGTCAGTAAAATACGCGATTGTTCACGCATTTCCTATTGATTTGCGATGAATAGCTTCAGGGCTCCCGAGACCCCCTTTGGGTGCCCCGAAGATCATGTAATTTTAGTTGAATTGTCAATTACCTTTAGTATGACACAATTACACGTGGATGTAGAAAGAATATTCTTGACCTACCTTGACCTAAGCCTTCCACACCATATATGAGATGTGTGATGGCTTCTGCCATGGCTTCATGACCTCAAGCCAGATCTTCCTATCTTGTGACGTTCTGGTCGCTTCTGTGAGGGATCCTAGTAGCACAATTAGCCTTTACACAATCTAACCATTTCGTGGCTGGTCTGCCCCGGGGTCTATCACCATGAATATTAGAAGTTAGAAGTATCTTTGGATACCGTGATGGTCTCATCCTGTTCGTGGTCAAAAAAATCGCAGCCGTCTTTTGACTTTTTTTGTCCAGAATGGTTTCATCCAGTCCAAGAGTCTCCCGAATTATTATTTTTCTTATTCTATCTAGTCTGGTTACACCCAAGATTTTTCGGAGGCAGATCATTTCGCAGGTAAGGAGCCTGTTCTAATCTTTTTTTTTTAGTGTCCATGTTTCTGATCCATACATAAGAATAGATAGGATAGGTTCCTTATATAGTTCACGTTTTGTAATATCTCTAATGTCTTTGGCTGTCAATATGCTGTGAAGACTTTGAACAGCACCCAGGGCTTTTCCAATCCTATTCATTTTGTCCTCTTTACATTTTCCTGATTGAGTGATGGTACCTCCCAGGTAAACAAACGACGTTTCCACCTGTAGTAGTTTGGTTTCACCTATGCTAAGCTAATGTCTTGCTGCTGTTTGCTGATGAACTGGACCTCTTTTTTGGCAATATTGATTTTGAGGCCAAAGTTTGAGCTCCACTGATGCATACAATCTACAATGGACTGGGGATCTATCTTGTTGCATGCAAGAAGAATTATGTCGTCAACGAAGCGGAGGTTGTTGATCAGATGGCCTTGGATGTTTGTTCCAATAAGGATGTCATAGGTGGCATGTAACAACCATTTCTAGGACGATGTTGAATAGCTGTGGTGATAATACACAGCCCTGACGTACACCCACAGTTGTTGGAAACCAGTCTGTAAATTCACCTTTTACCCTGACTGCACTATAGATGACATTTTGTATAGTGCTTTTAGGAGACAGATGTGCTTATTGGAGTAGCCAAATAATCTCATAGCTTTCCAAAGACCTTCCCGCCATATCGAATCGAATGCCTATATAACAACAAAACGGACTTCTGTTCTTTTCAAGGTGCTTTTCTGCAATTTGACTTAGAGTAAACAGTTAGTCTATGGTTGATCTCCCTGGTCTGAAACCTGCCTGGGACTCTGATAAAATTTCCTCTGTCTTCTTCAAGATTCTTCGTTGAATGATTGATGCAAACATTTTCCCTGCATGGCTAAGCAAGCTGATTCCCCGGTAGTTTCCGTATTCAAGCTAATCCTTCCTCTTGCTAAAATTACTCTGCCCCAGTCAGGTAGGAATGGTTTTTTTTTTTTTTTTTTTTTACTCCATATTAGGTTGCAGAGTTTGTGAAGGATGTCAATACCACTCTCTCCGGATGCTTTTAACTCCTCTGCTGTTATACTTTCATAGCCTGGGGCCTTTCCATCTGACATCTTTTTGATGGCAATAATGACCTCCTCTTTGAGTATTTCAGACTCTTCCTCCGTACTAGACATTTGTGCAATCCCCTCAGTTGCATCCTTGTTGATGGGATGCTAGTTGCTATCTTATATCCTATCTTACATCTTCTATCTCTGTCAGTACTTGTCCATCTTTGCACTCTACTGTTTTCATCTTGATATTTGGTTTCCTAGTGAGTTTCTTGATTGTTGAGTAGATTTTTTGGACTTAGCTGCTTGGTGTGCCTTAACAATAGATCTTGAATCTATCTGTTCTCACATCCCTTTGTCTTTCTCTTTATTTCCCTGTTACGGAAATTATAGTAGGCTCTCTTTGTGGGATCCCTTAACTTCTACTGCTTAACCCTTTTCTTTTGATGAGATAATTGGAGCACCTCCTCGCGTATCCAAGGGTCCTGAGGTTGACTCTTTCTGTTTCCGAGAAGTTTGGTCGATGTTTCGCTCTTTGCTGACTTGATGCCTTTCAATAGATTTTCCACATCTGTGTGTTCATCATTGAGAAGTGGGCCAAACCTTCCTCCAATTTCTATTTCACAATTTGAGCGGACATCTGTTTTTTGAGTTTGAAGACATCGTACCGCTTTAGAAACTTGGGTTTTCCTCTAACTTTAAATCTCAGTCGTAAGTTTGCAATGACTAACTTGTGATCTGAGCCTATGTCAGCTCCTGGGAAACTCCTGGAGTTGTTGATTGAGCTTTCCCATTTGCTGTTAATCATTATAAGGTCTATCTAGTTGTGAGTCTTTTTTTGACCAGGTTTATTCCCATGTCCATTTTGACTTGTTTTTACTTGTTTAAACATGGAATTGATGACAACATGATCATTCGCTGCACACAAATTGATTAGCTTCTCTCCTCTGGCATTTGCCTTTCCAAACCTATGTTGGCCTAGAACTTGTTTCTATTGTGAGTAACCGTCTCCCAATTTTGCATTTAGATCTCCCATCACTATCGAAATGTCTTTCTTTGGTGCAGAAGTGATTGCTTCTTGAAGTTGGTCATAGAAATTGTCTACTAGTTCTTCATTATCAGCTGTAATTGGAGCATAAACCTGAATCACTGTGATGGCACCTGCTTCAGTCTGGAATCTGGCAGTGATCAATCTGGATGAAATAGAATGATATCCTAGGAGTGAGTTATGGGCTGTTTTGTTCAGAATCAGTGCTATACCCCGTCGGTGAAGAGTTTCATTTCCTGAGCATAGTATTTTGTACCCTTCTGAGGTAAGCTATCCCTTGTCAGTCTAATGTGTTTCCGATACACCAATTGTCTTTTTTTTTTAAATAAAGCATCTCTTTTCCGTGGTTTATCAACATCATCTCTTCCAATTGGCTTTGGAGTTGGTACATCATGTTGCACTACTCTCTGTAGCCCCCCCCCCCGTAAAGAGGTGGCAAATTAGTAGAGACAGGGGATTTAACCCTGCCCCTGGTGCTTTTATAGCTTTCCATCATGAAGGAGTTTCGCTCTAAACTAGCTAGGCGGATGAGTCAGTCCTCTCTTAATAGCCACCCTGGTTCGTTCGTAGCTGGCAAATTTGGTTGTCAGCTAGTCACCCCTACCGGCAAAAAGGTGAAACCAGGACGTTTACCTGTATCCGTCTCCTCACACTAAGTGCTACCAGGGACGGTCTTCTCCTTGAGGTCTATCACAAGTGATAAGAGAATACTGGTTTTTCTTCCTCTCACTAGTAGTAAGAGGGAAGAAAAAAGTCATTTAATTCGATGCTCTTGAATCAATAATGTTATATTTGGGCCCTTAAAATTAGATTATTGGTACCAGAGACAAGTTTGGCTATTACAGCCTTATACCCACAATGTATCATCGTATTATGATACCGAAACAGACATTTTAATGTGAACCTATTACCCCAGAAAAGAGTTTAAGGCTATCCTCTTGACTGTCTAGAGTTGCCGGTCATTTGGCCCTTTTGGAGCAACTCCAAGGCCCATGTGGTCTTAAACTTCACCATGATATTTCACTGTATTGTTCATATTGGATTTTCTACACCAAACAAAATATTTTCAGCCAAAACATTTATTCTGAAATGCAAAGACTGGTGGGCCCCTAAAACGAAACATTTCAAAAAATCAGTCGGTAGCAGCGTATCCGGACACCTACCCCCTTAACATCCATCCCCGGATAACCACCCCCAGTCAACTACCCCTAGGACAACTACCCCTCGGTCAACCACCCTCTAGAACGACTACCCCCGGGACAACTACTCCCGGACAACTACCTTCAGGGTTGTGGTTCCCCTATAGGGGGCAGTGTTCCAAGGGGGTAGTTGACAGGGGGTGGTTATCAGGGGGTGGACGTCCAGGGGTAGGTGTCCTAGAACCGGTAGCATCGTTGTCAGAGGTAAGAGCACTTTTCTTTTTGGTCCAGTTTTTTGTTGGCGGGAGGTTTTTACATAAATAAAAACTTTGTAGCGCAGGGGCTGTTTTAAACGTTTCACTTCGAATCCGCGGCTCGGAACGTAATATGCGGCCGGCCCCTCTATTCAATAACGTTACCCAAGCCTTCTGGAATGACCCTCAATCTTCCGATGGCAATTCTGCTCCTCTTTTAGGGGCCGGGCGCTACTTTATCATGAGTGCTTTTACATGAACCTTTTTTTTTTTATTTTTTTTTATTTTTTTTTATATATATCTCCTTATCCATCGTTGCCGTCACTGCCACTTATGTATGTCCGGCCCCCTCGTCAATAACGGCTCCCAAGCTTTCGGGAATGACCGCAACATTTCCTGATTACCCTTCTGCCGCTTGAAACAAACATGTTCAGGCCCTACGGCGCAACATAAACAAGCATGCTTATAATTTTTTTTGGAAAAAAAAAGCTGAATTCAGACTCAGTTTTGCACAACCTAAACCTTACATTAGAATACGGTCAGTTACCCCCGCCCCCCGCCCTCCCCCCTCCTGTTGTATTTCAAACCAACCTAGTTAATTTGGGCTATGTGGAGAGGAGCAGACTATGCGACATCTCCTAGCCTGCCCACATCTACTGGACACTTGCACCCATGAAGATTGAAGCATCAACCCCTTGCACGACGCAATGCATCCAACACTGGATTGGGACAATCTAATTAATAGTGAAAGTTGTAACGTAGTGACTCGAGGAGAAGAAGTGGGTTCTTTTAAAGTGTTTTTTATACTTCAATTGTTATTAATATTACTATTATCATAATTATCATCGTCATTATCATTTGAACATTTATGTCATTCAGCACTTCAAAAGGGATCCAGGTCAAGCAAAGTCTCCGGTGATAAGAAAGAGAGCAAAGCCGGAACATCCACTGCTATTGCATACAAGAAATCTAAGACTCAAAGTACACAAGCGAAGAAGCCGCCACAGGACGGTACCAAGATCATGAAGACCAAACCGACATCAGCTAAGAAGGTGCCCCAGGATGGTACCAAACCAGGTTGGTTAAAAGCAGAGTCATAAGAAATTCAGTTTTGGCAATTTTGCATGATTTGAATATGCTGGTAACCATGGTAACTACTAATAGTAATCGTTTGAAATATTATTTGTTCACTAGTTTTGATAGATCAACGGTTTTTTATTCTCCGATTGCAAAGATCAGAATGGTAAATTTGTATAATTTCTAAAAGATTATATTTGATGCATGGCTCAGCGAAATGCGTTTCAAATGTGACTTTGAAATTGAATGTCTCTTCTTACATCTTTTACTTAATCATTTACCATTCACTATTGGATTAGGTGCATCCACACTCAAAAATTCGACGTCCGCGGTGGGAGACGGAAAGAGGAAAGCAACACAAGAAAAGGACGGCCCAAATCATGAAACAAGCAGTAAGCACAATGCTGAATCTTTGCTTCCTTCCAACATGTTCTGTCTCTTGGACATTTCGCCTAGTCCGAGATCGATCTAACTGATTAAATGTTTAAAAACCCGACTACGCAACGCAATCTCCCCTATCCATTACAAGCTAATGATGACTTAGTCCCCGAATTTCTAAGCCCGGCGGCAAAGAAATAGGCTGGACGTACATGTACCATCGACGACTCGTACGGATTCGAGGATAATATGATCATGTTTTAATTCAAAGATAAACTTGAGTTCTGGTAAAAAGAGAAAATGAATTCTCACAGAATCAAACGAAACTTACACTGAATGTTCAAGATTACAAATAAATGTCATTTGCCAAACAATTTTGGTAGAAAATGTATACTGGCTGAGTAATGAACATAGAAAGATAAGGACATCAAGGTAGGTAACCCCGACACAATTTGTGTATAGTCCCATATACATCTTTCTGTGTACAGTGCTTGTTACTTTGCCAAGGCTGGGCCAAATTTATTATGATTTTTATGACTCCAGAACCTTTCAGTACACACCAGTACTTACATGTACATGATCAGCTTTTTCTGATCCATTCCACACATTTTTTTTTCACAATGCAATCGCAAGACCAGAACTCAATTTTCTCTTCAAGCTGCTATCATATCTTCATTATATCTTAATTTCTTTTTATCATTTGATTTATTTGGTTTCTCTGTCATCTTTTTGAAAATGTATTTATATTAAACTTCCTTAATTCAATTATTACATGTAAAATATTCCTCCATTCGTTCATATAACGAGAGGTTGCTATTCTGAAATAGAACCATATTCTTTGGAAATCTATGCTCCCCGAAATATTGTTAACATTGATATTAAGATATCCCGCTTGCATGTCTCGTCGCTCATTTGTGCATCAACGAACTTTAAATATTTGCATTTACTTGTTTTTGTTTTTATTTTATAGAGAATGAAGCATTATCTACTCCGAGTGGTGCCAACATGAATTTGATTGCATCAGACTCTGCGACTGTTCGCAACATCACAATGATCGGGCAGCAAATAAATGTTTATAATATTTATGGGGGCGACAAATTTGGTGTTCCTATTAAAAGATATAAGTTAACTATTCCTCATTCTTAAATAGTGTGATCTAGACATACCTCAAGTTACCTATTTAAGAAATGTGTTTTGACTTTTGTTTTTGAAAAGATTAGTGAAACATAAAATCAGCAGAGATGCAGCAAACCAATGTGATTGGCCTATTCGGGGCTCTCCTTACAGGGACTGCTGGTGTGACCAGCTGTCAACAATTGTTTGTAAATATGATTTATTAACATAATTATTTAAAACATCAATACGATAGTTATTAATAATTCTCTAAAGATACAACATGATTCATAATCAAGTAATTAGTTAGCTACACTATATGTTATCGATTGAACGCCCTTTCACTATTATGAAGACCCATGCAAACTCTGTCAGCACTGAGACCCTCTGTACTCTGCCAAGTTACTTGCCATTGAGATTTTTCTTTCTCTCAACTTACTGTCGTGATGTTAATGTAAGATGTCGTGGTCGGGTGGATATGTCACCGGACTGTGGACCACAAGATCAGCGGTTTGAGTCCCGCCACGGCACTAATGTCCTTTGGCAAGACATTGATCTACATATGCCACACTTAACCCAGGTGAGGTTAATGGGTACCTGGTAGGATTATTACTTTCAACTCGTGCTATATTCTGCTATATTCCGTCTATATATATACTGTTATATTACTGTTATATTGTTTCGCAAAGTGAAATATCACCGTGGAAACGCCAAATTAACTTGGATGCAGATGTACTACTGTTATTTTGTGTTTTCTTGTGCAATTTGTGATGTTGTGAACCTGGTGCATATAGACAGTTTGATGCCGGACTAGAGTCTTGGTCCCACATGTGACATTTTATGATGGGGTGAGCTTATATGTACATTGTGATCACTGTATTTTCTTATAAGACTTTTATTGAGAGACTTATATGTACTAGTATATCAACACTGAAGGACGAAATGACACAGTTAAAGTCGAATACCCACTCTGGCAATCCAGGAGCTGAGAGTTTTCGTTTCAAACTTCCGAAATATATAACTACTGTTGGTCTACGTATAGCCATACAACATCTTCACATTTCATACGAACGCTATGGAAAACACGGTGGAGAAAACCGTATAGATTATGTTACAGACTTATTGTGTCATATTTTACCTCATCTTGACAAGTTTATCTGTGAGCATTTTGTTATCATATATGACTACCCGGTTCCAAGTGATACACAGGCCCAAGATGGCGCGGATAACCCCCAAATTTCCCGCCAAGGCGTCCCAAACAAATCTACTCAAACAGAAGAAGGGAGGATTGAAGATAATCAGAATGAAAACAATTGCAAGACCTGTGGTACAATCACAACTACTTTGGAATCTGTTCAAAACCAACTCCAGGTTTTGAATGAAACTGTCAATGGCATCATCTCGTCAACAAAAGGCTCTAAATCAGCTAATCAGACGACAACAGATAAAGCTCAAATCGATTCCGACGCAAGCACAGAGAAAGATCAGCATTGTAATGAACATAATAGTCGTACAATAGATAATCAATTACGTGACTACATAGCAAGACATCATTTGAATTTTAATTCCTTACCAAATAAACTTGAAGACCTAAGGTATTTGTTAAGAAATTCTCCCTTCGACATCATTGGCCTTACTGAGACTCATCGTGATAACACGGTTAGTGACAACGAACTGCATATTGATGGTTATGATTTACTAAGGAAAGATAGAAGTAGGCATGGTAGGGGCGTGATGATTTATTTGAAGAACACCCTCCACTTTCAACATGTGAAAGATCTTGGGTTAAACTTAGAAACTATTTGGATAAAAACCAAGGTACGGAACGTGAAATCATTGTTAATTTGTGTTATGTACCGTCCGCCGAACTCTTCAGTTGATTATTTTGATTTAATGTCTGCTATGATGAGTAATGCTCTTGATTTTGATTGTGAACTGATTGTATTGGGGGACCTCAACTGTGACCTACTTTCTGACAATGTAGATTCATCGACACGATCTCTTATGACTGTAATGCAGGGTTCACTTTTGTCACAGTTGATTGAGCTTCCTACTCGTGTGACCCAGCATTCTAACACACTTATTGACCATATTTATACAACATGTCCGGATGATCACAGTATTTCAGGTGTCATAAAAACTCACATTAGTGATCATTTTTTGATATTCACATGCTTACATTCTAGAAGTGCTGGGAATGTTCATAACGATATCAAATTCAGAAACTTAAAAGAATTTAAGCAGGAAAATTTTGTCAACGATCTTTTTAACTTAATGTTTAGAGAATTAGCTTGTGTTAGCAACGTTGACACAGCTTGGAAATTGTGGTACAATCAAGTAATGTCAGTATTAATAAACATATGCCATAAAAACGCAAAAGAATGAGGAAAAAAAACCCTCTCCTTGGATCACAGGTGAAATTATTACATTGATAAATAAAAGAAAGTATCTCCATAACAAGGCTTTAAAGTTTAACTCCTCAGGATTATGGAAAGAATATCGTAGAATACGTAACATGGTAACAAGTTTAACTAAAAATCTAAACAAAGGTATATACAGGGTTTATTGCAAGATAAGTCTGGTGATCCCGGTGCATTATGGTCTGTTCTAAAGCAACTGTCCTCTAGCACTGGTCAGCTTTCCATAAAATTGAATATTAATGATGTTGAAATTTATCAGCCTGAAATTGTTGCTGAAAAACTGAACGACTACTTTATTGATAGTGTTTCAGAACTCCTGGGGAAAACAGATTGGAGAGTCAGTGAAACCACAAGTCCAGATGTAATTGTTAGTTGTCCATTGCCACAGGAGAATTGTGATGACCTTGATCATGTTGATCGTCAAATTTTTGATATTCCTCCAATCACCTACGATTTTGTTGTAAAAGAAATTGACAGCCATTCTGAAAAAAAAGCGACAGGGCCCGATGACATCTCTGTTAAAATGTTGAAAATGATGAAATGTGCCACAAATGTAATAGATGGTCTTATTTATATTTTCAACCTTTCTTTGTCAAAAGGGCATTTTCCAAAAGCATGGTGCTTGGCCAAAACTCGCCCTATTTTTAAGGGCGGTGATCGATTATGTATAGAAAATTATCGACCAATATCCTTATTGTCAATTGTTTTAAAACTTTTGGGGAAATGGGTACAAAAGCATTTACAGACATATTTATTAAATAGCGATTTCTTCAGTGAAAGTCAATTTAGTTTTAGACCAAAGCATTCATGTGAAAGTGCTCTATTGTGTATGGTTGATGACTGGGCAACTGAAGTTGAAAGGAGTAAATTTTGTGGGGTAGCGTTTATTGATATGCGTAAAGCCTTTGATTCTGTTAACTACGATGTATTGCTGAACAAACTTTCTAAAATAGGATGCTCTGAGAATGCATTGGCATGGTTTAAATCTTACTTTTGCTTTAGGGATCAATTGACAGAAATAGGGGGTAAATTATCCAATACAAGGTCAACTATCTCTGGGGTACCACAAGGCTCGGTTTTAGGGCCCCTGTTGTTTACAATATATATTAACGATTTGGTTTCCAGTATAAAGTCAGGAAAAGTTGTCATGTTTGCTGACGATGCAACTCTGTATGTTAGTGGTAGTAATCTTGAATCGGTTGAAAGTCAACTAAATTCTGCAATGAATGAAGTCTTCAAGTGGACATCTAAAAATAGATTGGTACTAAATGATAACAAAACGAAAGTGATGCTTCTTGGTTCTCGACAACGATTGAATACCTTGCAGGATAAAAAAATATCTGTTATAATTAATGGTACCTTACTAGAATGTGTATCTGAATATAAGTGTCTGGGGGTGTCGATTGATGATACTCTGACATTCAAATCTCATGTTACTTCTATTGCAAAAGTCATGAAATAAAAACTTGGCCTAATTAGAAGAAACAAGTATATATTTAATGTTGATCAACTTAAAAGATTATATTGGGGATTTGTTCTCCCCCGTGCATTATATTGTTCA